TTCAACCTATAAGCATGTCGAACCCTATAAATTGAATTGATTAACTAGCCTTCGCTTTCAACGGGGACACCAGCTTCCAATGCAAAACTGGAGACTTGAGGCTGGAACCTTCAACGACAAGGCGGTGGCAAGTTGCGGAATTCGTTCGCCCATTGTCTACGGACCCGCCAGTCCCATATTTTCCGTGAAGAATCGATCTTTTCTCTTGGAAACCGTTTCATGAATGTTTCAGCACCGTTGCACAAGAGCCTTGATAAAAAGTGCAGCAAATTACCCGTCTTGATGAAGGTTTCTTCAAGCTCTCATCATGTTGGCGGAAAGATACGATACCACAACCACTAGCAGTCATTCATTTCGACTCAAATCTTTATTGGACCAGCTGTAGACTGTCGAATTCCGCCGCCAAATGGATTGTGTCGAATTCTTCTGAGTCAGTTTTGGCTCGTTTCGACAGTGATACACAATCACCACCAAGGCGTTGCCTGATCATACCGAAATACCAAACAGTGTTGTAGGAGGAAAAGAGGGATATCATCAAGATACTGTAAGTAAGCTTTTATTGGAACGCATGAATGTCAGGCAATTCAGTTTATAATCGGCCCTGATAGCTTCTCAATATCTTGCAAACCTTTAGAAGATGCACCAAATTATTATGGAATTGTCTTATTTTCAACATTCGTTCGTCGGTTTATGCCTGCAACCCAGCCAGGCTTAGGACATAATTCAGGTCTTTGAGCAGCTCATGGTCCTCCATAGGGCGTCTTTTACTCTAATTCTATATCAGTACACAAAGCCCTACACCCTGGTACTTGGACACCGCCCGAACGAGCTTTACTGCAGCTCAAAGAACCGCCCAAGCCCAAGCGACTTTCTTCCTTGTGACCTAGGAAAATAAGGTGATATAGAGTGCATTCGAATCAATCTATAGCGCATCACCCGATACCCATTACGAGGGATGCGGTAATCAAAATGTATAGGGTAGGCATACGTTGCTAGGCGCTTGGGTAACGGCAGATGAGGCGCGAAGGCTAGTTAATCAATTCAATTTATAGGGTTCGACATGCTTATAGGTTGAAAATAAACTCGTGCTAGTTTTCGAATAATTGTGATTGCCTGGTGTCAGTCTGTAGGAGGCAGGTCAGACGCCTCGTGGTTGTTGAAGAATCATAGCATTGAGAGACCTTGGTATAAGAGCTTCACTGAAGTATATAAATTATTCAGAGCGGACCTTTTGCAACCCAAGCGTCGACGGCGCCTTTCACTTACCCATTGTACGCTCCCCCACCTCCGTCAAGCTATATCTCCTCTCTCGTTCCTCTAATGACCTCTCCCACTGCAGAGAATAAATCTCAGAGTAGTTTAGAAGATGAACACAGAACGGAATCGAACTTATTTTGGGGGTTGAGATTCATGCTAATCCAATTCACTCAGCAAATCTTCGCAGGACTTCTAACCATACTGCATGTGTTTAAATTATCCCAGATATCTTCTATCGAGCCTCCTTCCACGCCCGCGAATGTCGACGAAGGTGACCAAAGTGTGACCACTATTGATACGACGCGTGTCCCTTCACCAGAGCCATCTCTTACTTCACCGCCAACCCCTCCGGAGCCAACGACGAAAAATTCTCAGACACAACCTGAGACAAAGGAGACCACTTCAAATAGAATTATACACGTAATCGATATGCCAGTAGCCACACAAACTGGAACATCCTATCCTGGTGGTATCAAAGCATACTACCAGGCCAAAATTGAAGCTGCAGAGCTTACAATTAACGAAAGGACACAAAATTTGAGGAGATTGGAGGCACAAAGGAATGCTCTAAATGCTAGAGGTGGGCTTGCCTTTATTTCTTGTCGCTGACTAGCCATATTGACCCGTAGTAACAGTGCGATTGTTGAGAGAAGAGTTACAACTCTTAATGGAACCCGGAAGTTATGTCGGGGAGGTCGTCAAAGCCATGGGAAAGACCAAAGTTTTGGTAAAAGTGCAGCCTGAGGGCAAGTACAGTAAGTCATCAAATTGTCCTACCAGCCCTGTGTGAAATCATATTTGATTCATGTCGCTTGTTTCTTTGATTCTAATGGGTTTTGCACCCCATAGTTGTCGATATCGATCCTGAAATCGATGTAAACAAGCTCACTCCGAACTTGCGTGTTGCTCTGCGTTCCGACAACTATTTGCTTCACAAGATACTTCCCAACAAGGTTGACCCTCTGGTATCTCTCATGATGGTGGAGAAGGTGCCAGATTCGACATATGAAATGGTAGGAGGTCTGGACAAACAAATCAAGGAAATTAAGGAGGTGATCGAACTTCCCGTTAAACACCCAGAACTATTTGAATCGCTTGGTATTGCTCAGCCCAAGGGCGTTCTGCTATACGGACCCCCCGGGACAGGCAAGACACTGTTGGCCAGAGCTGTCGCGCATCATACCGACTGCAGGTTCATCAGGGTCAGCGGAAGCGAGTTGGTACAGAAATATATCGGAGAAGGTAGTAGGATGGTCCGTGAATTGTTCGTAATGGCAAGGGAGCATGCCCCTAGTATCATCTTCATGGATGAAATCGATTCCATCGGAAGTTCTCGGGGAGAAGGAGGAGGTTCCAATGGAGACAGTGAAGTACAACGTACAATGTTGGAGCTTCTTAATCAACTTGATGGGTTTGAAGCGACCAAAAATATCAAGGTAAATATTCAGAATTGTCACACTGTATGTCGGCTAAAGTCCTGTTCCTAGGTCATCATGGCTACCAATCGAATTGGTTTGTGACTTTGATCTCTAAAGCACATATGCTTACATTGACTTAGATATCCTGGATTCTGCCTTATTACGGCCTGGACGTATCGACCGTAAAATCGAATTCCCACCGCCGGGTCCAGAGGCGCGAGTGAGTATCCTACGGATCCACTCACGAAAGGTATGGATTTGTTTCATACAAGTAATCCGATTCGGCCAATCATTCAACTGTCAGATGTCTTTACAACGAGGTATCAATCTTCGCGCATTGGCCGAGAAGATGGGACAATGTTCCGGGGCGGAAGTACGGGGCATATGCACAGAAGCAGGTACGTAGAGGATTCATTTAAATACCATACCTCTCCTGCTCAAAGGCCAGCCGAAAATTGACGTATTTTCCCTTTTATTCCCTGATAATAGGCATGTATGCCCTGCGAGAACGTCGGCAGCATGTAACTCAGGAGGATTTCGAGTTTGCTATTGCGAAGGTGAGATCTTTTTCGCGTAAACCCGATGAGCGACGACGACGGCAGTGACGGCCGCGGCGTATTTTCGGCTTCTCCATACTGACGATCTATTTTATCCAGGTACTGAAGCGAAACCAAGATGCGAACACTTCCGTCAGCAAGCTGTTCAGCTAGAGTACTCGGGTGTCCACCCCTTCTCTCATTCTTGTCGATGACCCAAGCAGTATTGTCGGACCTTTGTATCCATATATCGTTAATGATAGATCCCTTTATCTTCCTACCTGTGCATAATTTTAATCCTCTTCCCCCAAACTATATGCGTTTTAGTGCTCGATTTCCCGGTCATTGTTTTGCCGGTCCAGCCTCGTATACAGTTCTACGTTCCTTGGACCCGCCCATCATCCTCACCATTCCACGGGTGCTGGCTCTGCTCTAGGAGTCTATAAAACTCCTAAAAATATACTATATATCCCTTTTCACGGTATCATTCCACTAGGGGACAGAGCTCAGTCCACTGGTCGAAGCGATCACCTACCCACGGTCCTCCTGCGACACCGAGCCCTTGTACAGGTATAAAAGTGCACACTATCATTTTCTGTTCACTCTAATTATACGGTGAGCATCGCTGAAGCATTTCATCCCCTCTTTTCTCCCATTACTATACGGCGCCGCCCTCAGTGGCCGAGTTGTGCGGGTAACCATCGTGTATCTTTGTCACGAGTTGACCATCAACATCTCTTCCATCCTATCAAATTTTCCTTATTTCTGGTTCAAGGCCGAGTCTGCTGCGATCTGTAAAGCGCCTTGTACCCCTGCTGCACCGCATCTCAGCATACTCCACGTCTTTCCCATACGCCTTGACGCCTTCTGGCAGGCCATTTCATGAAGAAACCAAGCTAATGAATTTATAGATATATTCCTTCATTGTTATCTTCGCCTTTCCGATCAGTGTCTTTGTTAACCTCAACGAGTTATGTCAGCAACAATCAGTTCAGGCCCCGACCCAACTGGCGATGGCGTTAGCGATCCTCTTGGCACCTCGACCTCTGCTACCATTGAACTGAGCGTTTCGTCACAAACCATTGGTTCATGTCAACCACTGAACGTTACCTGGACAGTCTCTAACGGTAGCGCCGACCTGGACATCTCCACCATCACACTATCATACACCAATCTTGGAGTGTCCCAAACCGAGGGAGATACAACATACCACCCAACTGGCGGATCGCAAAACCTTGGGGTTACTCCCATCAGCAGATTGGTCTGGACATGGCCAGCTGTTTTCATACAAGAATCCGGATACTACGTTATCCAAGCTTCAGGGAGCGCCTCACCAACACCCTTGATTAAGCAAACTTCCCGGTTTCTTGTTACAGTGGACGATACATCCTGCTTCGCATTGAGTTCCTCATCCCCCTCCAGTGATCTGTCAACACCCACAGATGAACCGTCAGCACCATCCAATTCGCCCACGGAATATTCGACGCCTTCTTCCAGCAAGAAGACCAATGTAGGGGGATGAGGAACTCAATGCGAAGCAGGATG